CTGCCCGTCAAGTTTGAGGGAAATAGGCCAAGCCAAAACAATCACAGAAGAATTAATACGTGAAAACACCGGAAACCACACACTCAGAAACACAAAATTGATTTTAAGGGCAATCCTAGCAGAACAGATCGCCAATAGTGAACAAAAATGTTCGTAAATATTACTGACCGCAAAAGAAGCTCATCGCGAAGTGTCTTGTAAAATTTGAAAAAAAAATGAGGAAAAAATTATACTAGTTTAATTTGAAAATGATGCCCTACTATGGCAACCATTTTGAATTAAAAATTGGTTCAAATACATAAAATTAAGTTTAAAATTTAAAATTTAAAAACTGGTTCAGGTGTTTCGATTTTTTTACTTTAGCTTGTCGCAGGGCTGTCACAGTTTAGCAATATTTCAGGAAAAGCCTTATCAAAAATGTGTTGGCTTGCCACATCCATCCACAATGTACTAACTGAAGCTGTACATGCACAGAGTGCAGCATTGCATTAAGGATTCTCATCACTAGTTTTTGAATAATGAACCTCAATCGCAAAGTCATAATTCTATGGAAACAAGTTAGCTGTTTTTTTGTTTACTTGATCAAATATGTAACTCAGGAAAATATTGATAATTTGTAATACTTTTTAAAATTTCCATATTTTTTAAGGTTTTCTCGCTTTGAGCTTGACACTACTATAAAGATCTGGAAGATCTTGTTATACTTTTGTCTTCCAACTGTTTTTGGTGATGCCTTCTTTTTTGTGTATAAGAAAAGTACAATCTCTAATGGAAAAATTTCCTTAACACTGATGAGTCCAATGATCAACACACATAAATTAAAATAATGACTGTAAGGTTGAATGTAAAATATAGAAGAAAAAGGTATATTTGCTGGATTTTATTATCACTGAATCATTCCTTCAGTAAAAATAGCCAAAATTAATTCTAAGCGAAAATAAAGTATTTTACAATAATAAAAACAAATTACAGCAAATTCAAGTGCTACAAAATGTACATACCTACAGCCAGTATAAAACAGCATATATGCAGAATATACACAACATTATACATGTAAATACATGAGGCAATGACACCTTAGTTTTAGAACAATACAACCAGACATTTTTTTCATTATTTTATCAACACATTTGATACCATGTATTAAATTGGTATTGCCAGGTCACATGTTTATTGAAAATAAGATAGATTTGTTAGTGTCACATATAATAAAGATGTATTCCCCAAGAAAAACGTATCTGAAAGACAAAAATGTCAAATGGCAGTAACTGACACTGGGTAATGTCTTGTGTTTCTGCGCAAAATGTCACAGAAATGCATGTTTTCCCTAGTTTTGATGCAGTGATGTTTCTATTTTAGTAATATTTCTGAGAAATTAATTTCTGTTTCAATTTCAATATTTCTGAGAAATTTATTTCTGTTTCAATTTCAATAGAATGCAATGTATGTATGGGTAGTTGTTTGCTGATTAGTTTCGTTCCTGGGCATACAATAAAATATGGCTTGTACCAATATATCAATTAAAAAAATGTTCCCACAGAGTTATCTGATTACATTTTTTAAACCATCATTATTGTGTGCATATTTTGCACATTTTAATGCATTAATTGCCTTGTTAATTAATTAATTAATTAACTTTAGATCAGATGTGCATAATTTCTCATTGGTTACTGGTCTTGATCAAAGGTTTATTTTTTAAAAGTTTAAAATGTCTTTTTACCGGTATTTGTAAAGGTGACAATAGTTGAAATTTTCATCAGAGGATGAATACAAATCCCGCTAAAATAGAACAATAATTATCCTTTCATTGTCAAATATCTTAGTAATATTCTATCTCTATGATATATTGCACAAGTTTGATTGTGTTTTGAATCTTTGTGAAAACAAAAAAATTCAAATATCACAGTGCTCTGTTTAGTGTAATTGTATCGTGCTGAAATTTGCACCATGTTTTCAACACAGCTGCCCGTTTGTATATTATATTGAATACAAACAACTGGTTGGCTTGTTTTTGTTTTTGGATTAAATGTCCATGCTGGTTATTTTCTCTGGAATGTAATTTTCAATAGTGGTGAAAGGTGGTGCACAGATTGTATATCCGCACATTGTTTTCTATGCCACACAATCCGAAAAGTACAGTGTGTTTAATTTGTTGCTGGGGACTGAAATTATTCAAATTTGGGATTCTACATATTTAGATGCACGTCACTATTTTTAGTCATCTTGACTGGCAAAAATTTTATTTTAAAATTGTCATGGTTATCGGCTATTAACACTTGTGAAACAAATTGAAAAAAGATATGTATATATGTAGTACTATATGAAAGAGATACATTTGTATCACATGAATCACACAATACAAGATTTATTTTGTAGCCCACAATATGTGATTTATTGAACAAGGAAAAAATGAAAATTACTCATGTACATGTACTTAACTCATCCAATAAAATTAATCAAATATTATAGGATCATGAATTTGATATTGTGTTTATCCAATATAGCGGTAGCTTCTAAAGGTTTAATTAAAACTAACACAGCAATCGTGACTTGTGATTACGTATTTAATAAAGTGTAGCGAGTTCTGGCTCATTTGCATAAAATGATCACTATTCATGAATATTGATTGCCATTAGCTTAATACTTTACTGTGATTAAGAAATATTGTTATTTTTGGAATCATCACTATATTAATTTAATAATTTCTGGGATGCATTTAAGTTTGGTAATATAATTACTAATTTTTGAGTCAATTCAAACTTTTCACAATCTATGAAAAATCAAGACTCTACATGGGTGAAACGCATTGATGTTCTCAGAGAAGGTGAGGTTGGGTGGACTTGACATTTCTCATATATTTGCGGCTTTATATCACGCAAAACACCTGAAACTACCGGGAATATTTGAAATAATATAATTTCTACAATGTCTGACACTGAGGATAGTCCTGTAGGGACAAATACTATACTTGCCATAGTGCTTATTAGTCACAATAAAGTTATAAATTTGAGTGTTTTTTTTTTCAGTATATTTCTTTTGTAGTGAAGCTTCCAGATATTAGCAGTATGCAGTCTAGACTTTTAGAATGTAGAAATACGTTTTTTTTTTTTTGCTTTGAATGCTGATAAATTTGCATCTATATGTGATTTAAGTTTGTTAGTATATTGTTGTAAAGGGTTTAGTTCTATCATGTTGATTTCATACTAGTCAAATTATTATGCCTAAGACTCTAGACACTGTACAGGTACTGTTTACAATGACTTGTATTTCCAGTGATTGTTTAAATATCATTATTTTAATATTCCGTTGTATTTCATCTCTGGTTTCATGTCTGTAGACACACTTGATTAGAACTACTGTACATTGAAAAAGCTGACGACAAACCAAGACAATCATTGGGTTATAACGATATCGTTATTAAAAACATGATATCTCTAGACAAATTTGTTTTCAATTATTTTTGGTAAATTAATCTCCAATTATCAGATGCCAATTTCCATCACCACTGATATGAACATACTTGATATTAATTTTTATTGTAATTGGAAACTTTTTTTAATTCTGAATTACTATTTCAGGAACCACCATTTCATTTTGTAATTGAAATCGGATCACCAGTCACAAAGCAGTTATTGCTTCACATACAACTACTATACAGCCAGGGTAGAGGAGATACTATCTATTATCATCAGACTTGTGAAAAATCTTGGATTACATGTAATAATAGAAATACACAAACGTCTGGCTTCTTTCAGTTGATTAATGAATGATTAGAGAAAGAGAGAAGAGAGAACAATAATAACATGTTTCAATGTTACGTCACCCTTTGATTGCTTCATCACTGCTGGCAATATATTAACGATTTGCCATATCCTATAGATAATGACGCAAAAAAGTCACGACCGTGGATAACGGCACAACTTTCTCCAATTTGCTTCTCCTTCAATTTATAGTTGGAGCCAAGTTTCCGGAAATGCTACTGGCGATGATCTTGTCAGACATTTTGGGAGGCGTAAAGTCAAATACTCCCACAATTTTTGTCTTTAGGTGGTATATGGGCAGCACTTCATGTGTCTTCAATTTTGGTTTAGTGATGAATATTCATATTAGAAATGTCATGTGATGATGATATGACGTCGATTCAAGCCTAGCATCCAATCACATTTGACACAGAATTATGTGCCGTATACGTATTTACAAAGCGATTCACCAGATCATTCTTAAATGCACTGGGAGGGGCACTCAGGTTGGTTAACCTTTTCACCACCAGTTTCTTTTTTTCATCAAAAATTCACAAAATAATCCTGTTTATAGTCTGTATTTTCCTTTAGAAGATGGGGACAAAAATAGCCAAATTTTTTTAGTAAAAACTGAAAATTGACTCAAATATTGTCTGTTGACTCCAAAATTTGGGTTCATTTCCAGAAATATGGACGACTTGGGTGAGAAAGTCAAGTGGTGAAAAGGTTAAAAACACAATTGTTTTGTACCCTGGGTGAGTGTGTCACCGATCATGATGGAAAAATGAAAGCCACTGCCTAAGATTAATTTACTTATATATAACTAATGGTTAGTACTAATGAGCTAGTAAATTACATTGCTATAACTTTCTGCAAAATAAATAAAAATAAGAATTCAGACTTGCATCTGATCATATATTTTCAACTTTTTGCAAAGGATTGAATGATTGTATTTTAAACTGTTTCATTAAATACAATAACAGCATCACTGAGCGTTGAGTGGAATTTTAGTGAAAGTGAATCATATTTAAATGGCCAACTAGTACCTTTAGAGAGAGTACTCAGTAACAAAACATGTCTAAAGCAGCACTGCTTTTAAATTTTTAGGGTCTATTAAAGTCTGTTTGAACCTTTAATACTGTTTTCTTCTTCTTCTTCGCCATTTCTGCAAGTGTTTTGTGGGACACATTTGAGTACCGCGTACAATAAATATGAGCAAAGAAAACCATCATGTAATTGTGGTTGCATAAGAACTGGAAACTTCACATATAGCACGTGGATAAAACCTTTTTTAAGTTCGAGAAAAGAAAACTGATATGAGTTGAAATTAAAAAGGAAGCGTCTATTTTGTCATTTTGTGAGGGTCCAGTGATCTGATTTGTTGTGAGGGTCCAGTGATCTGATTTGTTGTGAGGGTCCAGTGATCTGATTTGTTGTGAGGGTCCAGTGATCTGATTTGTTGTGAGGGTCCAGTGATCTGATTTGGTGTGAGGGTCCAGTGATCTGATTTGTTGTGAGGGTCCAGTGATCTGATTTGGTGTGAGGGTCCAGTGATCTGATTTGTTGTGAGGGTCCAGTGATCTGATTTGTTGTTATATGAACTGCATCTCTATACAATATACATATATATCTATACAATGTTTGTATATTATATATTGTAAGGTATATTCTACTGTGAGCCTTCAAACTTGAACTTGACAAAGCTGCTCTACAGCTTTAATTGTCATTGTTGTAGGGAAATTTTAGTATGAGACCTTAATGAAATCGTGATCTGATGTTAGTTGCATAGCCCTGCCCCTCCCCTGACAAGAACGATAGTTTTCATGACAAAAGGTACTATGACAAATTCCAAATATAGACACAAGCATGTCTAATACATTCTGGCTTTATGTATGAAAAACCAAAAATTAATTAACTGTGTTGTGTTTTTTTCCTCTCCAGAAATGTTTCTGTTGTGTCAACAAGTAGATGGTGCCGTGGTGATGTAAATGTAGAGTAGTGCATTATGGGTACTAGACACTCGGTATCCTGGTTTGACTGGAGAACTGCCAAGACGAGGCAGTCTAGTAACTACAAACATAAAAGTACACCAAATTACAACCATAACTGGACTGAGTTGCACTATGCCGCTAGTCAGGGCAACTTAGAAAAATTACAAGAACTGTTATCAATACAAGGTAAGTATAACAGTATCATAATTTTAATGTAAGAAAGTTAAATATAATATTTTTATTCAATATAAAAAGTTTGTAATAAATATTTGTAATAAAAATGTTTAAGAACATATTTAGCGAACTTCTTTGTGTGTGGTCTGGTAACATGCTGGGGGCAGCCATGTTTGTTTTTAGTATTATTAGAGGACGCTTACGTGTGTAATCGTTCCATATTTGGAACTTGCATTTCCTAATATGATAGAATGAAAATAACCAGTGCAATACTGCAAAATTACGGCACGGTGTAACTTATGGCCTTATGGTGACAGATGTATAATAATATTTTGTATTTGAACCAAGTCATATATTTCAGAGGAATATTACTAAATTGTTGCACAAAATGCATAAGAAGGTTATTTTGAAGATATCACAAAATAAGGGTAAACCCAGAAAGTTACAGGTAGACAGGTGGCTTGCTAAAAACCTGCCATAAAGTAGGCAACTCTGACCACTGCTACGCATCGGTTGATACTTCGGCTGTACTGTCTTCAACCATATACTGTGCATGTATTCTTGTAAAAACTTTGTAATATTCTTGTGTCGTATATTTGTGACAGGGAAACAAAACATAGATAGACAAGACTACTATGGAAAGACTCCATTATATTGGTCTGCTTATAAAGGACATAAAGACTGCATAGAAGAACTATTAAAGCATGGTGCTGATGTCAATAGTCAATGCAAACATGGTTCAACACCCTTACATGCGGTATCTGGGCTATATCCTGATTCCACATTATTACTTATAAAGGTTAGTTCAAGTATATTACTGTAAGGTCAGAAAAAAAGGTTTCTGGTCAATTTGTTTTTCACATGATAATTGATTAACACAAGCTTTTAATTTTGTATTCATTAAAGTTGTCATTGGAATTGTGCTTTTGTTAGAAATCAAAATTATGAAAAAACCTAAAAAAAATGTTTTAGCTGATGCATGTATTGGGGGAGGGACACTTATGGTATATTGCGCATCTCCAAACACTACATAAAAATGTAACATGGGCTCTACCACAAACGAATGTTCAAGTGATGCTTCTTTTTTGTCATATTTTTTCCCGAAGTACTTTTTTTTTGCAGTTATACAATATTTTGACACACCCACTTTAAAGGTATAATATGTTCCTTTCAAAGTGATTACACTTTCTGACTTCCATGTGTGAAGCGTACAAGTCTTTGCAGCTGTGTGTTTGTGTGTCTGTTCCAAAGATATCTGAAGTACCACTTATGATGTATGAATGAAACATTGTACGTAGGTTCTTTCAAATAACAGACCTGGTTATTTTAGGGTTTAAATCCATGCATACTAATGGTAATTTGCATAATTCAAGCAATTCTCTAATATCTCAATAACCACCTATCATATTTAAATTAAATTTGGCCCAAACTTCTGTTTTCAGTTAGTAATATAAACCTCAATACAGTGGATCACTTTTTGCTTCTCAAAAAGCAGATCTATATTAGCCAGCATGCTTCTCACTTAAAAAGCTATTCTTAAATTTCAATTCATTTCAAAAATCCCCTATTTTACTTTATATGTCTCCTATAGCCTCAGCACATAAGATTTTTTTAAACTTTCTTTTTCTTATCAGAAAGGTGCCGATATAGACATTGAAGATAACTGGGGAGTTACACCGATGTATCTTGCTGCTTGCAGTGGACAAATTGATTGTATTAGAATATTGGTGTTGTCAGGAGCTAATATGACATATAGAAATATGGTACGTCACTACGGCAACCAGGAATTGATTGGCTTAAATTTAACATTGTGGCCATTACCGATAATAAGATGGATTTACAAAATTTTGAAAACAAGACATTCGTATTCTGTGAACAAAGCAAATTCTACCTACATTGTGTGTCTGTTCCAAAGATATCTGAAGTACCACTTAGAAGTACAGTACATTTGTACTTGTTTATTTGATAACATCACTCTTTTTTTTCCTTTGAGTGCCATATTTGTTTTTTTCCTAAAAATTTGGGTGAAAATTTTTTGGACATTTTCTTTGTTAAATTGGAACAGAATAGACATAATTGGCCATTGGCATCAAATTATAATTATTTTTTTTGTGAAATATGACATTGTTGACTTTGGTGATTATAGCGATATCCACCCCTCAGGTTCTGAGGGCATTAATTATCCACAAACCTTTGCTTCATTAAGTTTATATAGTGCATACAACATGATGAATATAAATTTAATTCTGTGCCTTTAATTTCAGAAAACTGGAGCGATACCTAAACAGTTAGCTGAACACTACGAATTTTTACAGTGGTTGAAACTCCAGTCACAAAATGCACGGTCACTCAAAGAGCTGTGTCGTAAATGTATTCGTAAAACACTTGGATATCGACACATACATGAAGTGGGCACACTAGACATTCCAAGCTGTCTCCAACACTATCTACTACTAGAGGAAATCAATTGGAATATTAAATAGCTATTGATCAATATTTTCTACCCAATTTCATAGATCATATTTTCACGTAATTTTTTAATGTTATTCATAAATTATTTGGTTGATATAAATTCTATAATATCCATGGTAACGTGTGGTTAATGTGTCCGAGAAAGAAGCTGTATATTGTTGTGAACCTGTGTCTGTCTGTATGATTTTTTTGGATGCCAGATCTTTAAAATTTAATAGTTAAATATCCTTCATATATTTGAATGTGTCTCAAATCATTGGGAACATATTTTGCCCTTTTCAAAAAAAAACAATAAGTACCTTTTATTTTGTATACTGTAAAATACATTATTTCAGCTGGAATTAATTTTCGCTAAAAAGACTTTTTGGGCGTATTGTATGGAATTTATTTTCACTAATTTTTTACGAGTTGAATGTAAAATATAGGAAAAAGGGTATATTCGCTGGATTTTATTTTTGCTGCATCATTCCTTCAGTGAAAATTAATTCCAAGCAAAAATATATTTTTACTGTATTTTACAGTACTGTATTAAATTACTTGCCTAACTTGCATACAGTTGTACAGTTAGTGCAGTTTTTCATGATATTAATCACATCACATGTGTGTCATCACATCCCAATTATTACTACTCATTGCCAATCATTATTGTATCAAATTATTTGCATAATTAATTCCACTGATAGCTATGTGACTTCAGTCATGGTAAGCTCCATATGGATTGTTTCAGTTTATCGATATTAGCTCTGCTTTCATTTCCTGATTTTCACTCAGCTGTTTTGTGTCGTCTTTTACATTTTCAATTTCTTCTTGCAAGCCACATTGCTTTCATACTAGTTGTATCACCAAATGGCCACCAGGTAGCCATTGCTTTGATTGGTTAAAACATATCAACATGACATTTAGTTACTATATTGTCATTCAATAATGGTGGCCGCTATTTCAGCAAACTGTAGTTCACACCCAAAAGTTCTGATCTGAACAAAAAAAAAAATGCAGCAACTTGTTGAAAATACTTCAGAAAACAGGTATTAAAGATGTGGTTTCACAAGGCTGTAGGAATATACGAGTTCCCTTATGGCAAGCAATGTTAAAACATAATCTGGACTGTATTCCCAATGTGCACCTTACTGTTTAATTGTCTTTGGAAGCCAAGAAGCTGCAGAAGTGATTAGGGCGATGCGTTTGATGTGAAACAATAGAATTTCCACTATAATGCAAATGATGAACTTTTGTGCATCATATTCGTTTTGTGTAACTGCGCCACCAACGTCCAAATGTGTGATGTATTCGTTTTGCCAGCTGTTTTAAAATTGTGTGAACAAACTTTGCTACACTGTTAGTAATAAAACTATCATCTGCATTTACTAAAAAAAAATAGGCAATTCATTTTTAGATAGTGTTTTATCTTCCTTTGCAGATAATATAACAGCACCACCAGCGTTATCATTAGAAACATTTTCGTTTTTATTTCTCTTGTTCACAACTGCTAGATAGCACCGCCAACGATCAAATTATCAAGTGCTTTTGTTTTGTCATGAGACAGATTTGCAAAATACCACTAACTGTTGTATAAACTGTGTATATTTATTGCGGGATTTATTGTTATACTGCCATCACTATTTGTTCAAAAAACATTTCGTTTTTTTAACAATTATGCAAATTCGGCGACCAACACTCATTTTCAAATGTTTCTTGCGTCCAATAGTCCAAACATACCAGTTTACCACCACTGGTTTCATTGAAATACTAATCAACACAACATCGTGATGTTGTAGAAGTATAGCCATGCCTAGAACTACCTCTGGCTGTTTTGGGGCGACAGGTGTAATATTGGGTGCTGAAAAGGTCCCAATGAAGTGACGAGCACCTCCATATTCACAGAGCTGCAAGACCTGGATGTGATTTGAATAGATGGTAAGTAGATGTACCCATGATGTACCAAAGCGACAGCAGACGATATCCAAATGGTTGTTTGTATGGTTTTTGCTGGTACGTGTACTCGCAATTTTTGCTTTAAATGACATTTCTGGTTGGTTTGAGAGCGGCGTCAGAAGACAAGCTGGGGCTTCAGTGACCTCAATATTTGTTGGTTTAGAAGATTTATAGCAGAATCGGAAGTACGTTTATTACATGGTAAAATGTTGAAGCCTAGGGAGCCCAAGAACTTACGCAGTCGCCATAAGCGGGTGGGGTGTGGTGGGGTGGGGTTATCGGCTGGTATAAGAAATATGTGTAAGAAATATACAAGGGATGAAGGCTCCAGCGAGCCCAAATTATTAAAACTGGAAAAAACGGACGAAAAGAATGAAAGTCGTTTCTAATCGAAACTTGGTCAGACGAAAACAAACTATACTATACACCATTGCCTTGAACATCTGACAAGAACTTGTTGGTGCCCAACGTATATATTGCGTTATCGGAAAGTCTAGGATTTTACGGTCACAGTCACTGTTACCAAACATTTATTTATGCACAAGTTTTGTTTTTTCAAGTTAAAAAAAATAATAAATCCTGGGACACTGGCACATTTTGTGCGAAAAACAAGTATTCAGTATTTTTTGTTTTGGGCTTTACAGATTCTATTGAGGAAATGACTCCAAGAGTTTTATGATGAAAATTAATACATCAAATCCCAGAAATGAATAGAAACCTTTCGTTTTTCAGTTTAAATCATGACATTTTTAAAGATGAAGAGATCTGGTTTGTTTGCGTTTATAGAATACATTGGGGATCAAGGTCAGGGAAAGCAAGGTAGATGGCCATTTATGTACTACGACAGGGTGGAGGTGAGCAAAGATATTCCCATTATAAACACACTTCTTTGATTTTTCTAAATTATAATGGCAGCTTAATCCAACCAACCATTCCACAAGTACAGTGTACAATGGTATTTGAAAATGTTCCAATATTGAACAATAGAAATTAGCTTCTATGAAGTGTCACAGCTATACAACCACCAGAAAAATCATATATACAAGAATTGATAGAAGTTATTTGAATACGTTATTCTTTTATTTTTGTAATTCTGCATTAAAAGACAACACTCTTACAGGCTTAAAAAGTTAACCATAAGGGT